ACACAGCGGCAACCAATCACACACACACACACACACACACACGAGAGCTGTGTCCCAAACTGAAGTGCGATTGTGTCACAGCGTCACGCCGTAAGATGTCCCAATTCAGAATGCACCCTCCGAAGACCGCATTCCAAGGCTGATTGCGTCACCGCGGCGCGACGGACAGTGTTCTATGATAAAATACAGCAGATCCATCAGACATTTAAAACTCTTTCAAACCAGGAGAAACTGCCGTATCTGTTAGGAGAACACAAGAACTGCTGTGTGTTTGCTGCTCAATATGTGTCTGCCTGTCACCATAGAAGAGAAAACACTCAACCTGCCCTGATCTGATGTTTCCAGCACATCTACATTATATTATGCCATATTACTGTATTATATTACTTAGATGTATATTTTGCTTCTGTAAATATGTCTAATTATCGGTGCATCCCTAATTTCTAGTTTATATACTTACATACATTAGTAATTCATTTTGCACTACATGCTTAATACTTTTTATTAATTATTACTATTATTCTTTTTCTTTCTGTTAATACATGTGCACTATTTGTAAGCAGTCCAGCTGCAATTGCTTTGGCAATACAAATGTATCATTTTTGTCATGCCAATAAAGCACTCTTAAATTGAAATTGAAATTATTAACTTGGTTATCATCAAACCACTGTCTATTTTGTTGTAGATCATTAAACTATTAGAAGCCTGTCCAAAATCAGTTTTGGGAGCATGTGCTGCCTGACAAGTCATTGCCTGATTGGGCAGCAAGGCAACAAGTTAAAACGGCTTTCGGGTGAAGCCTTGATGAACTTTTTTCAGGTGTGTTTGATTAGGGTTGGCACTAAACTCTGTGTCTATCCAGAGCCGAATTTGAGGAACCCTGCTCTAAATGACTATTCTATTTGTATGACTTTACACTGCTCTTTGAATTTTATTTTAATATAGGTCAGCTGGTGGTGCAGCTCTCTGTAACCAGTGAGTTTACATTTTCTCTTGAAACTGCCAAGCTTAGTTTAGAATATTACTTCTTTTAGTTATAACTACAACTGTCCATCTTACAATTCAGATCATCAGGCGGCATTGTGGAAAGAAGATACACTTTTTTGAAGAGGCTGTGTCAGGTTCTCTGTGCCCTGGGTAGCCAAATCTGCTCTCTAGTGGTGAGGTTGAAGCATACACATCACTGTTTTGTAGCAATCTTTTTTTTCTCTCATGAAAAATACAAAATATTTTTATATTTCTCTTTAGGGTTCCGATTTTGAAGTACAAGTTCCTCTTAATCTGGATAAATACATGGAAGCTCTTTTCGCCTTCACTACTCATCCTAGCCAGGTTGAGTGGCATTATAGCTACTCAGTGAAACTTACTGGTCAACCAAGATTTTTTTGCTAAATTTGGTCTACTATGCATTCCATATTTATTCATTATTTATATATTATTTAAAACAGCTTCTGAGGTCGTCCACGCAAATGACCTGGGGAAACCTATTCCGACATGAAATTTTATCAAAGGATCCTGTAGTTGGCCAGATGGCGATAAAATATTTAAGAGCGGCAAGGATCAGTCTTGTTAAAGTAAGTGTTGTGTATACCAGACAGAGCAGCCTTGAATAATGCTTCATATCATACTTAACTGCTCTGTTTGCCGTTTGCAGACTGGATTTCCCTCCAAGAATGATTGTCCAGGTTGTGAATTCTCTAGAGTGGACTTTGATAGTGATGAAGATTTCAACTGCTCCTTTAATTGTGAGTTATAATTAGTTAGTAACTAATTAGCTAAATTTAATATTATTACATCTGTGTGCTTACATTTATTTATTTATTTATTTTTTTGCATATTTATATATTTTTTTATTGTTGACTGACAAATACAAACATCTTTTTACCAACAACAATTTCTTGTTACAAATTTTTTAAATATTTTGTTCAGTTGTAATTTTGGCAATCAAATGCACACATCTAGGGCCCTATGATTTCTGTGATGCGGAAAACACGTACGGAATTGCAGAATCCAGTCATAAAAACAAAATTTACTGTATAAGGTGCAATGCCATGGAATTTGTCAAACTTTGAATGAATTAATCAAAAGTAGGGTATTACACTTAAATCAAATCGTGATATGGACTAGTATCTGTGAATATTAACCCACAAAATTACTATCGTTTTGTTAACTACACACATACTGAAGCGTACGTGACTCGCAGTGGTTTCAGCGTCTGTCGTCTCACTAAATGAGGACATAAATACATGAACAACATCTCCAGAACTGCTCTGAGAGTCACTTCACGACCATTTCACCGTTCGTTTGAGTAAAACTAGCATATATCATATACACACAGAAATGTAAAGGTATTCACGGCAACCTGTCAAAATAAAAGTTCAGTTTAATTTGAAGACATTGTGCCAGAAATATATTACAGTAGAATGTACATACTACTACTACTAAAATTATTAAAACGTACTTTTTATGAAATAATCACACAAAACATCTTCCATGTTTTAATTTTAAAAATAAAGTTTTTTATTTTCTGTAATTAAAAGATGAATGAAATGAATGTTTTATGCTTTCATTTGATAACCAGAAAAATTTAAATACACAACACTGAGTTTCTGAGGGGAAATTTTTTTTTCAAAAGGCTATTTTAAGAATGAATTTTAATAAATTAATTTGTTTTTATGCATTCAAATAATTAGACATGCTAAAACATAGAATTTGGTAACAATAAAACATATGGTGGGAAAATATAAAAATTGAATTTTTGTTAAACGTTTAATAAATTGATGTGAAGTTTCATGATTTTTATTAATTATTTATCTTTTTGATTAATAAAATTTAATTTAACCATTAAAAAGGAGTAAAGAAAAATTAAAACAGTAAAAAATGGAATCCAGACAAATTAAAACTGAAAAATATTAATTTGGAAAAAAATAAAACGGATTTCATAGAACCCTACACATCATATAATCAACCCAGCTGATTTGATTAGTAACATGGAGTTATTCAAACAGTGAACAAATTACAGAAATGATCAAAGAACAAATTATTTTAAAAAGAAAACTATAATAAATAAAGCTGCATTTACAATGGTTTGGTTAACCCCTGAACAATTTTTTTTTCTCCCATAAACAGCTTTCAGGGCTCAGCAGGGGGAAGCAGTTCGTCTGGCTTGTAAAATTGTCCCATTTGAGGCCTTCCAAATTGCAAGGGAATGGGTGCAGTATCAGATCTGCACACCTATAGATACTGGAAATACAACATGTGAGTACTGTTAGTAGACTTTCTCATGGTAGGTAATCTTTCATCTGCCAAAAGTTTGTGCAATTTTTGGAATTGTGCTGCGATTTATCTCATTCTATATTTATCTCATTCTATGCTGTACTATCTCATTAAAAATTTTTTTTTTTTTTATCTCATCTCATTCCATGGTATCATGATAAATAATCTTCAGTGTATTGGAAACAATGTTATTTCAATGCAAAGATTACATAATGTTTGACCAAAAAATGGTAGTGTACAGACACACAGCAGATAATTCTTTAACCTCAAAAAATGCCAGATACCAAACTTTATTTAACCCTCTGGTGTTCGGTCATTTTACCCCCCAAAAATGTTAGAATTTTTAACTTCATTGGAATGGAATGAAATTTGGTGACTTTTGCAGCACTTGCTATGTGAAAATAAAAAACAAATTGTGTACTCCATTTGAAAAAGCTAAATAGTCATAAAGAAAATAGTCACACTTATGTTGTTTATGGTCAAAAATAAACACCCGTAGGAAATTAATTGGAAATACGAAAAAACAAAAATATATTCCGGTTTGTTTTTTTGTTATATTTTTATTGAATTTTGATGTTAAAAAAAAAAATCTCTGTCTTCTAGGGGATGTAATGATATCAAAATCTCACGATAAGGTAATACTGCAATATGAAGTCCACTATGCGATATTTATTGTGATATTTAAAAAAAATAAAATAAAAAAGACGAAGAATTTGAATTTTTTTTTTTATTTTGTACATTTTAATGTTAAATTATTCTATCTAATGCACTTCAAAAATTAAGAGCTCCATCCCATGTTTTTAACATTTTTCGTCAAAAAATTGTGAATTGACTTGTACCAGAACTTTAAAGGGGACTCAACCCTCTTTTTATTTGTGGTATACCGTCTCAGTCTAAATTACATTCACATTGGTGTTTTAGGAAGCCAAACAAATTATAATATTATAATAATAACAATAACAACAATGACAGTATTAGCCATATATCTTAAAACAACTGCACTGTAAAATAAATGAAAATGAATAAACTCGCACTAAACTCACAGCACATGCAGTAATGGAGTTCACTGCATTCATTCACTGTGAACGGAGCCGTTCTGAGGTGTGGAAAACAGCGGATCACGAGCTGATCGCCTGAACAATGTGTGCGCTTTGCTTTGAAATGCGCAGCGAAAACAGGGATTAAGCCATTTTGTGCTTTTTGTTTTAGTTTGCTTGACAGATACTGTGCCAAAGCATAATGGCCCAAAACACTTTAAAGACCTTTTATGTTAGAATAAGAAGTTTAACTTTTTGTTTAACTTAGTTTAACTTAAAGTTTTTGTTTACATAATATATGTGTGTACTGTGTGTATTTATTATGTATATTTAAATACACACACATGCATGCATACATTTCAGAAAAATTTTATGTTCATATATTAATATATAATATAAATTATATGAAAATATATATAGACATGTAAATACATGTAAATATTTTCTATATATATATATATATACTGTATGTTTGTGTATTTATTTATACATAATAAATATACACAGTACACGCACATATATTATGTAAACAAAAACTTTTATTTTGGATGCAATTAATCGTGATTAATCGTTTGACAGTACTAATTAAATATATTTTAAAAACTACACTTTTTGCCCGGAAGACCTATCATTTGATATCGTCATGTGACCATGATAATATTGAGAATATTTGCTATCGCGGTATCACGATATTGATAATATCGTTATATCCATACTGTCTTCTGGTTTGACTGTAATCATAATGCAAAAACTGACACTTCAAAATAAATAAATTAAAATTACATAAATGAAATGTCTACTTTAAAAACTAGTCTTTGATAATCCCTATATCCTAATATAAACCTACATATAAGCTGCTAGCAGAAATTAAGAGGTCAAGCGCTACAGAAGCAAGCAAGGCAGCAAGCATCAGACCAACTGCAAAAATGAGTTACTAAAGGCATTTTAATGTGATTTTAGTCAAAATGGCTGAAAAAAATCATAAATATACTGGTATAATATAATTTACTGGTTTAATGCTTTTGACCAGTAGGCAGTAATGTTAACAAATTGATGTAATGTGGTCAGTGTGAGGTGGCAATGACATGTTTGGTGTCAGTATGTCAAAGCTTTGTAGACCCTCAGATGCAGTTTGGCATCACGGCATCAAATTAATTAATGAAATCGTTGATATGAAATCCATAACTTTTTGTTTCGTAAGTTTTGTAACAATACACCAGTGTGTTTTAAAGTATGTCTGACTCCCATCATGACATGGGGAATAATGGATATCGTTCTACTCAGTGTTATGGTTAATGTTAAGACTGTCCTCTATCTGTGTACCAAATTTCATAACTTTTCTGCAAGTGGTTCTATGGGCTGCCATACACTCAAGAGTAGAACAAGTTATTAATTACAGTGAATAATTACAATATAATAATAGCTAAAATACAAGTTATATTGCATAATATAGTTTCCTTGTACCAGTAAACTATGCAGATTTTACCTCTTCAAAAAGACTGCCATAAGATTTATCATTACAATGCAGAATGTTATCCATCACATGTCCTACACAATTTCACTGTGTGGTTTCATTTATAATTTGGGAATTATGATTTGACTACTTATGGAACAAGATTTAAGTTTGACTCCCATGTTGAACTGAACAGATTCTTATTCACAAGATAATAAACAAAATTTTTGTTTGTAGATGATATGTCTGTATTCATTCATTTTATTCATGGACTTAAAACATTGATATGTTCACAATTGAAACACCATTGCAATACAAACTAAGCTTCACCAATGCTGGCTACCACAGACAATAATCGACAGATGGTAATCAACATAATGCTGTAAATTGTGTTTCTGGGACTTGTTTAACCCTGGAATGTTCCTTTTAACACTGCTTAATTAGTATTGTTATCGGCTGAAGCTAAAACAGAGAAGGGTCTCTGTTCTGCTCTGTCTCTGACAGCGGTTCAGTGGGATGCCATGACATTCTTCACAGAAAGTGTGCTTGGACAGCTCTTTAAAATTCTTGAAAAGGAGGTAAGACAACCAGTCTCTCTCATGGTACAGTGGTGAGGGATTTAAAAAGGTATCTTGTCATTGAGATGTGTTTTTTTTCCTCCTCCCATTGCTGTAGAAAATTCCCATAGATGAGGGTATGGAGCTGCTGCAGATGGTTGTAAACTATGAGACAAGAGATCCTCTCATTCTGTCCTGTGTTCTTACCATCATATCCACTCTCTTTCCCTTCGTCACACACCAACCACACTTCCTGCCTCAAGTACTCTTTAAGGTGAGGTATATAATCTTTCATATGAAAATGTGAATAAATGTCCAGTCACATTTACTGTTGCTCAGTGAACTTTTGCAGGCAACATTTTGTCATTCCAATTGGAGTCCACTCAATTGGGAGTTTCGTGTGTGAGGTCAATTTGTTATTATTATTTTTTTTTTTTTGCTTTTTTAAAATGTATTTATTTATTTATACAAGCAGCTTGATTAGAAAGTGACTTCTTTGTGAGAAGTGCTTCATACATCACTACACTATTGACAATGGGCTTTTTTTTGCACAGTTTTGCTAATGTGTCTGCACCTAAGTGCATCTAAAACACTGTCTAACCACTGATTTAGGGTGTGATTTTTACTGTCGTGTGTGAGGTCAATTTGTTATTATTATTTTTTTTTTTTTTGCTTTTTTAAAATGTATTTATTTATTTATACAAGCAGCTTGATTAGAAAGTGACTTCTTTGTGAGAAGTGCTTCATACATCACTACACTATTGACAATGGGCTTTTTTTTGCACAGTTTTGCTAATGTGTCTGCACCTAAGTGCATCTAAAACACTGTCTAACCACTGATTTAGGGTGTGATTTTTACTGTTGCTGCTATACATTGCTTCTCTAATCTTCTAGATCTTCTAGTATCAGTCAATCAGTATGATGCTCTAACGTGTTTAAATCTGGATTCTCTCCCCTTCTCCCCATAATTTTCTGTTCTCGCTCTGCTATTGTATTTATAAAAAGAACCCTGAAACTTGTTTGACGCATTTGCAAATGCTTTTTTTACTTATTAGTAGCCTGTATGTCATTACTTAGTGCATGATAGATGTGCTAAAAACCTATCATCAAATGTCTTTTTTTCACTTATATTTAGATATTTCCTTCCATCACATTTGAATTGGTTGAAGATTGCAAGGTAAGGTGCCCATACTTATAACTGCATGTCATTCTCTAATCAAACAGTCTTGTTGATGTTATGTGCATGTGTTCAGGCACCTCGAACGCGAGCTGTTAAGAATCTCAGAAGACATGCCTGTTCTTCCATCATTAGGATATGTCGAGATTATTCAGATTTTATGCTGGTATGTTGAAGCATGCATCTATAATACAGTTCTTTACAATGCAAAACATATTTAATTTTAGTTATGGCCCTAAAGAAACCGGTTATATTAGCATTCCCTTCTAGGACGCTAATGATAATAGATTATTTTTCTTGCATTGTAGCCGTGCTTTGACATGATGTATGAGCATGTGAAAAAGTTGTTCTCCAGTGAGCTGCTGCTGACACAAATGGAGAAGTGTGCTCTTATGGAAGCCCTGATATTAATCAGCAATCAGTTTAAAGACTATAACAAGCAGAAAGCCTTTCTGAAAGAACTCATGGCACCTGTTACTGCACAGTGGCTGTCAGAGGAGATGAAGAGGTATGAATGGATATTGTTGCCCAGACAGGCGTTTACTGAATTTATTAAACGGATATTTAACATTATAATGATATGTCATTGATATCTAGTTTATGTACATGCATCTGAGGCTGTCTGATGTATGAACCTTCCTTTAATTTTGTTGTGTAGTGTGTTATTGGACCCTGCTACCTTCTTGGCATATGTTGGTGCTGATCAGGTGATCAGTGATGCTGACACAGAGGATCAGATGGGTATCAACAGGTCACGGGTAGGTGTCACCACTTCTCAAATGAATGCATGCAGTCTAATGTGTTTGCATAGCTGTTGGATTTTGTTGTAAATCTCATCAGCTTTGCTTTTGTCTTTAATGGCAGATTAGTTTTTGTGTGAACACCATACTTGGGGTTGTAAAGCGTGCTCGTTGGCCTGCTAATCCTGAGGAGGCAAAAGCAGGAGGCTTTGTGGTTAGCACAACCTCTGATGGGGCCCCTATCTACAGAAACCCTTGTGCGGAGCCCCTGCAGGCCTTGCTGCCTAACCTTTTTGCTCTCATCAGGTAAATTAGGTCATTTCCTAGAAATTAATTTCCTAGAAAAACAGACATTTGAATATTGGAATAGTATATGGTGAAAAAAATCATGGATAGGCTACAGGTATATTCTGTGCTGTTCTATGTACTGTTTTTCCACTATTGTAACCATGTTTGGAATAGTTTGACGTTCTTCATCCTTTCAGGACCCAAAATAACCTGTTCTTGCCAGAGAACATCAACCGGCTTAGCAAGACTTTTACAAGGGTCTATGATATTATGGATGTGGAGAAGAATTTTGCTTTAGGTAGGTTTCTCATTTGTCCTGTCCTTTTATGAACACCATCATTTAGGTTTTGCTGTGATTGGTAAAGTCAAATCGAGTCTCATGTATTTCTATAGTCCTTTAAACAATATAGATTGTCGAAGCAGCTTCACAGAATTAAACAGGAAAATAAAGGTGATGTTGCAGATTTCATCAATTATGAAACAAATTCGATTTCAGTTTTTAAGCAGCTCTGTGGAAGGCAGGAGTGTCATTATCTTGCTCAATTCAGTTCAAAATTTGTTCTCATCTGATAGTGTCAGTGCAGTTAAATCAACATTGCCTTTGAAACCCCAGACTTTTGTTATCTTAAAGAAATAACTCCTGATGTTTCCTACAGGAATTCCTCAACCACTTTTAGATGCCTACGACTCTTCAGCATACAGAAACATTGCTGAACGCATGCAAGGCTTCTTCTCCTCACTCTATGATAACTGGTTGGAGCAATCAAGTTTAATAATTTTTTTTTTTTCTTTTTTGTTTGATTAATAGAAGAAAAAAAAAACTCCACAATGGTCTAAACTCATTTTCCTGATCCTATTTACCCTTTTCTTTTATGTCTTTTTTTTTTTTTTTTAAGTTACCACGTGCTTGGGAATGCAGGTCCTTGCATGCAGCAAGACTTTTATGCAATAGAAGGCTTGGCAGAGCAGATTGTTGGTTCTGCATTTACCCATCTAGACAGTGTTCCAGACCACAGGCTCCGCCCCTTAGTTCATATCCTTTATTTAATGATTTTTTGTTTGAACTATTAGTTAAACATACTTAAGTCAGTAACATTTGATGGTAACACTTCATAATAAGGGTACCTGTACCTATTATCTTTATTATTACTTCAAAATGAGCTAATGATTAGTGATGGCATGAATTAATCAAGAATGAATAAACAACTACCCTTAAATATGACTAGGCCTATATGGATTCATTCCTAAATAATGACCACCTTAACTACATGTTAGGGTTAGGAATCATAAACATAATTGGATGGCACAAGATTAGTTTGCACATATTTACAGGGATTTTTCCTATCAAATGTGGAGAAAACTAATTGCAACTACCACCCATAACTTGATTTCAGTGTATTTTGTGTGATTCTCACGTGTAGGGTTGGGTATCGAAAACCGGTTCCATTTTAGAACCGGTTCCAAATTTCCAAGAACCGGATATTCGATAAGACGCATGCATTTCGATTCTGCTTAACAATTCCTGCATTCGCATTTTAATGTGATTAAAAACGATTTAAGTGCAGGAACAGAAAGAACTTGCGCCCTCTGTTTGCGTGCAGCGCACACGAAGCGCAAGCGCGAGCACAGAGAACAGAGGTCGCGGTATGGATTCCCGGTTTGTGTCCATTCTCGAACCGTTCCGTGTATTTCCACTGTAGAAAAGGTTGTTCCGGGCCGAAACTGACTTCTTTCATATTTGTCGACCAATATGCAGAAAACTACGTCAGTATATCATCATAAACAGCCGTTTTTGTCTTACGTGAACAGAAAGAAAACACACATGTCCAGTATTTTTAGATTTGCGTGCGTTCGGTGTTAAAGAGACAGCAGCCTAATAAACGCACTGCCTGTCATTAATGTTAATCAAATAACAAAAGAAAATCATTCACTGATCTTGACTGAATATATTTAATAACTTTGATTAATTTATATTTTATTTATGAAAAGAAAACTATGCAGTGTTTTAAACTTTTGATTACAGTTTCTGTACCTGAAATTTTGTTCAGTTGTATTTATTTATGATATTGCTAATTGATTTGTTTGTTCCTATCTTATTACTGACTGTTTACTTGTAGGGCTGAAGCTATCGAATATTTTAGTAATAGAGTATTCTACCGAAAATTCCATTGATTAATCGAGTAATCGGATAAGAACTTTTTCTTTATTAAAGAGCAATACTAAACATACAAGAGACAATAAGACAGGTCTCTTAAAATGAACAAGTAATTTGTTTCCTTTTTAGAAAAATGAAAATTTTTATTGCTGAAATTGCATATATTAATAACTTTGAAAACTAAACCCATTTAGTGCATTTAATTGCCATATTACATTCAAAATCACTTTTTACACGCAACATATTTTAGGTGTTATAATAATTATAGCTATGATTAAAGAAAATGACAATTATAAAGTTTATTGTTTTTTATTCTTAAAATAGCCTTATGAAATGTTTTCTTTTTCCTCAGAAATTCTGTGTTGTGTATCTGGTTATCAAGTGAAGGCATAAAATATCATTTATCTTTAAATTATTGAAAATTAACTTTTTGGCAAACAAAGGGGATTTACTATTAAAATTAAAACATGGAAAATCTGCCATTCATTCATTCATAGAGATATGATAGCATAATATGAGTTCATGCTCATCAGATCGCGTAAATCAGTGGGAAATGAATAGAAATTATGATTTTGTGTAAAGAAATATCAAGTAAACATGTATAAAAAATATAAAAACCCTGGCAAAGCTATTATTATCAGCGCATGTGAGCAGAGCATAGATTTTTGCTCGTGTTATTCAGCTGCAATAGAATGCTTTGTAAAAAGACAGAATAAATGTTTGACATCTAAATGTTTGACTTAATTGTTTTTTATATTGGATTTTTTTATCTTATTGGAATCTAAACTAGGAATCGATAAGCAGAATCTGAATTGGAATCGATAAAATTCAAACGATACCCAACCCTACTCACGTGACTCTCCTTTAAATTCACCCCACTGGCTTATAAGCCTTCATCCAAAAATGAAATTTGTCATCATTTACTCAACCTTACGTTTTTCCAAACCTGTATGGAAATTCTAATGCAGATATAAAAATGCTATGGAAGCCTATGGCTATCAGCCACTGTACAAATGGTATGTTGTGGCACTACCCTGACTAAGGTCTATACCCAGCTGTATAAACACAAGAATTGTTTTATGTAAGTTTGTACTATCTATATTTATGCATATATACTGTTGAGCCAAAACATCATGACCACCTGTCTAGTAAGGTGTTATATGGAATATTCACTGTACCCAATTTGTTGTTTGTCCTCCTCTGGACCACTGCTGGTAGGTTCTCACAAAAGCGCCCCACAAGTCTCGCTGTTTCAGACATTAGGGATGGGCGATACCACTTACTTTGTTTTCGATACAATACGATACTTTTAAAGTCCAGTATCATCAATATCGATACCGATACGATACTTATAAACTGAACTTTTAAATTATTAAATTAATTAAATTATTAAATTACTATGAGTAAAGTGGGTAATGATACCCACTTAACTTTATATTTGAAATTTTAACATTCAATGTGCCTTAATTGCAACTTACACATGGTCAAAATATGTTTACTGTAGTGGTAACCATGGAAATCTACAAATACTATAGTTGAATTACGGTCACTTTAGTAAAACCATGGTTAATTTTCATAAGGGACTGCCAGTGACAGGCTGTTGTATGTATAAAATGCAACCTTTTTATTCTGACAGTGTATGATTTATATTAACATTACAGAATAGAACATGATCAATATGAACTTTTAACATTCAATTTAAATAAATGTAATTGCACAAACTATGTAGGCTACAATTTCAATTTGTATATTGTGAAATAACTCAAACATATGTTTTTTTCTGTCCTCTGATAAGCATTTTTCTGGGCTGCCGTTCCCAAAAGCATCAGTGCTTTCTTATGATACTTTTGGGAAATGTAGCCCTGTTTGAATGCACTGTCAGAAGTGAGTGAACGCTCTCTGGGATTGATTGGCTCTGTCTTGATTATGATTGATTGGTTAGCTTGTGTTCAGATGAGCAGGAAAATAGTTCTATCCTACACAATTATTCGCTAACATAGGTTATTCGTCCAATTCAATGCATATTGTAGACATGAATTATTTTGTTCAATTAACAAAATCACTGGTAAAAAAAAAAAAAACGACTTAGTATCGATATTTTTGAGTATCGACATTTTCGATACTAGCATCAGTATCGATATATCGATACTTGAGGATCGATATGCCCATCTCTATCAGACATGCTCTAACATAGTTGTCTGGCCACAACAAATTGGCCCTTGTCAGTCACTCAGTCACTTGCAAAGGGTCACTCACAGTTTACTCCTAAAAGTAACGATCAAACATGTTCTCACATGAAGTCGTTGTTATTCAGACATGAATCCATCTTTATTTATTCGTGATTAATTCATGCGTTCACTAATTATTAGTTTATGTTGAAGTAAGTTTTAATTTGCGTAATTAGTACATTATTATTTAGGTACCCCTTATTATAAAGCTTTATATTCACCTTGGTTTATGATTATGAAAGTGACGTCACTGTCATTAGATTTGGATTCTTGTGGTTGTTGACTCTGACTCATGAATGATGTGCTGTAAGGTGCAGTTTTTGTTGTTTTCCTTAATGTTTTTCACGTCTGTTCATGAAGCAGCTGGTGATGTCCTGTCCTCATGATTATTATGACAGCCTCCTCAATCCTTTGCTGGGCCCACTGTTTACCTATCTGCTGCAGGTAACCTTAACATCATATACAATATCTGGAAGTATGTGGTTAACAAACCAGAGCATGTTTTTTTTAATTTTTTTATAATGCTTCATTTTTAAAATGCCTCCCTTAAATACTCGAGTCATATATTTACTACTACGCTGTGTAATTAGTGTTTTTAAATTGTGTTATCTGATACAGATTTGATTCACGGATAAACAAAGAAAAATATGCTAACTTAAGAAAGCTAGAAGAAATGCATAATGTCATTCCAGACAGACTGGATGATGATAAGATCAGATCTCTGTGTGGAGCACTGGCTGTTGTCAGACTCCTTGTGCAAACAAATATCACACTGAATTATTACAGTTAATGGCAAAATGAATGTTTGAAAATAAAATGATATTTTGTACTGACACACTACAGCAAAAGATGCACGTCAAACAGACGGAGCGCAATGAAATAGAAGCGCAATAAATCTGACTAAGTTACATTTTGAAATTTTATAATATCGATGATATCGTCTGCGATTTGTTTGCGTAGCTTGTCAGTGAACTACGGCTCTGTGAAGTAAATGCTTCATCTGAAAAGCACATGATGGAGATTTACTACTGATCACAGAACCGGCTTTACTGACAAGATGCGCATGACAATCGCATGCGATTTATCATGCAGCCCTAATTTGTCCTTCGGTACCAAATTTCTATAAAGGGGTCTCGTCAACGTCAGTGGGCCAATAAGCATGCAGTGTGATTGATGTGCTTAAATCAAGTGCTGGTGACTGGCTCTGGTGAGGAATCAAGGAAAAACACTAGTTTACAATGGTTAAGCCCAGTGACATGGATCACACGTGAGGCTGTAGTGTGTAAGCGATCCGCATAGATGTAAGGCTACATTTACACTAGATTTAAAATTATATTTTAATACAAAATAACACTTTATTTTGATAGTCCACTTTAGACATTCTTCTAACAGTAAGTAACTTTGCAACTACATGTCAACTAGCAGTCATTAGAGTATTAGTAGACTGTCTGCTTAATATCTTCTAACACTTTATTTTGATGGATCTACAACATACTGAGAAACTTTGCAAGTATATGTCAACTTATTCTACTAACCCTAAACCTAACCTAACAGTCTACTCTGAGAATTAGTTGACATGTAGTTGCAAAGTTACTTATAGTTAGTAGAATGTCTAAAGTGGACTGTCAAAATAAAGTGTAACCGTTAATTATCAAAAATCCATAAAAGGGGCACTTTAACTAAGAATTTAACTTTTGCGCAAAACTGGAACAACGCATAAAACATTTGCGTATAAAGCACCATTTCCATCCAATGAGCCAAAGAGAACAAAAGCGTCACTTCCTGATAAACTGGCACTAAATATCACTAAGAAAATGAGAAGTCACTGAATATAACAATTTTCTTATGATAAATTACTTTTATCAAAACACAATAAATGCAGTCATTGCTTTCAGAGGTGGATGCCTGCCGTTTGGGAACGCAGTCGTGTAAGACAATTATACAGAAATACTTTAGACAGGCTTTGCTCAGGCATTTCAGAATGACCAAACAACATATTCAAAACAGCGTTATTCCAAAATGCGCATAAAAATAGGTGAATGGAAACTATGGATGCAAATAGACATGTGCCAGTATTCTGTAATGCGATATATCACGGTAATGAACATGCACGATATTGCACTTCAAAATACCGTGAATAATTATTACAAATTATTCAGATTTTTTGAATGCATTTTAAGAATACTTCTCCCATCAACGGGTTCAAATGCACAACACCGCTGTATGCTGCATCAAATACACATGCACACTCTGATGTAAACAAGCCCAACACGAATGAGAAGCGCATGGCGGAATGAGTGAAGGAGACGCACTGAATGAAAATGCACATTCACTCTCTGACAGCAGATGGCGCTGATGGAACTGCAGAAATGCGGGATGCACTTTTTTTCCAGGGGTTTCAGTACAGTGTAATCGAAACTGAGTCATCAGGAAGGCGTGTCCTATTTGAGAATTTGCATAGGTCACCGATCATGCGCAGTTGGGGAAAAGCCATTTACTTCAAATACCTGTACTGATCGCAGGTGTTTCGTGTCAAATACCTTTTATATTATACCTTTTATATTATATACAGTAACTTCAGATACCTGTCCTGATCACAGGGGTTTCCTGTCAGATTACATTCATACTGTTATAACTTCAGATACCTGTCCTGATCGCAGGGGTTTCATGTCAGATTGCATTCACAACTGACGTTACTGCATGTTTTTACATTTTTTACTGGTTGTTTATTTGTTTTCGAAAATCGTTTAAATGTAAGATTATAAAACATAAAAATAACCTGTATTGTCCTTCATTATCTATCGCGGACGCTTTTCTCATTCATTATCCATCGGAGCAGATCAGAAATACCCGCGCAAAAAAACAACATTCTTTGCATGATCGCTTGATTTTTTTTATTTAAATTTTTTTTTGGAAAGGGGTCGTTTTCCCATAGCCTCCAGAAATGCCCATTTTACGTTGTGGTAATGAAATCCCTGGAATTTAATGAATGCTCAGAAATGCAGCCATTACCCCGGAAACCCCATAAACAAAGCAGCTGCACTACTTTGTTTCTAAACAGGATTTAAATATTTTAAACAGCCATTCAGATTGTTGTATTCACTATGGTGTTCATTGCAGTACTGAATACTTCAATACTTAAGACTTTAACAGGCTGTTTATTTTCAAACTTTTTATTTTTTTACATTTTAATCTGGAGTACAACATGCTCTATATTGATTGAAAATGTTTTGGTTCGGTCACACTTTACATAATAAGGCTCCAATAGTTATAGTTCAAAAGTTATAATTCATTAGTCAACAAACTGCAAATGAAAAAATCTTCTAAAACATTTATTAATCTTAGCTAATTTCAACATTTAATATAACACATTATTAAAATCAAAGGTTGAAAATGCATTATTTAATGGACCTAAGCTAGCATGAACTAACAGTTGTATTTATAAAAAAAAAAAAAAGGAATAACTTCTATAACAAATGTAGCTATTGTTAATGTCAGTGCATTAACAAAGGTTAACTAATGATACCTTATGTACCGTGTTACCAATTGTTCTTTATAATTCTTTTGCACTTTAATATATTTCAAACATTCGTTTGTGTGTATTGCTGCTTTACTGTATTTAAATGTTCAGTTCTTTTTGTTATAAGAAAAAAGTTATTAAACCTGTTATTGTATTATGACAAAATTTTTTGCAACATATTTCAATATCGTGATAATACTGTATATCATGACTTTATCACACTTTAACAGCTTTAGCAATTATAGCAACATGAAATTTCAGCCTGGTCTCATGTTTATATGTAGGTATTAATATGTAACATTTACAAGCCCAAAACGTACATTTTTGTAAGTTTTTATTGATGCTAAAACGTACAGTTTTGATGTATTTCAACGTTTAAAACGTACAAATTGCAACGTATTTTTAGCTAAAAAACGTAAAAATATTTACGTATCTTTTATATCAAGACATTCGTATCAATGCATTTGTATCATTTTATCAATAAGCGATTTAGATTTTTAGACCCCTTAACCTACCCCCAAACCTAAACCTACCCATTTTACACCGAATATGCATTTTTATCATTTTATTAATAAGCAATTTAGATTTTTAGACCCCTTAACCTACCCATTTTATGGCGAATATAAAAGGATATTAAACACAATTGACCAAAATATGCAGGAAAATAACAATTTTATTAACATTATAGCATTAAAATATTTTTATAGTTGCTAATCCCACTCCTTACCTATAAACCTAAACATTTCTGTACAGTAGAAGAAAAACATGACAGACAGATAAATGCAATTACAATCATTTATTTTTTGCAAAAATGTGAAAAGCAGTACTAAAAGTAATCCAAATGACGATGCGTTGCAGCCTCGGTTTTCTCTGGCGGAATACAGTAGGTTTGTGTGAGCCAGAGCAGAATTTATGTTGTTAATCGCTGAAAATATTATCCAGATTATTTTCCCGATCCACTCCGTGAACTCGTGAAGGCGCGCGCGCATCATTCAAACAACTCACCAGAAACAAGGCATGTAGCAATCTGTGACGAATGCAGGCGAGAACCAATGAGCGTTCAGTTATTCTGCTGTAAAACCTGTCGTTTGAAGCGGCAACATTTGAATTTGTAAAGAGAGCGCGGCAGTCAGCGCGGGCTTCGCTACTTCCGGATACTGGACTCGCTACTCGGGATGGAGATGAAGATCGCCGAATAAAAGCTTGGATTTGGGTCTGTTTCTCGCAGTTGTATGGATTCGGAAGATTTGGATTACAGCGCACAAATAAAATTGTTTCACTTCGTAATTATGCGTTTTTGGTGTATTTTATAGTTCTATTGTCAGTCACAGCATGTCGGAGAAAACACCTTTTGTGGCCCATGGCAAACAAAGTAAACATTACATGAGAAGTAATACATACGAATCATCATGAAATCACGTTGGAAATTTTGAAACCGTCGCATGCCTAGATAGAAATAGCTAGTAGAAAGTATCTCTTTGTTTCACCCACTGCTGTTGCATCTGAGGGTCCTAAGAATTTTCATGGCAGTCACAGGCAAAAACATTAAGAATCAGTCCCTAGGTGGGTGAAGGGCAAAAACTGCATTTTAAACAATGAGAAGTCCTATCCTTGCCCGGCTTGGTACCAGAGGTGGCCTTTTTGCCCTCTAAGAGGTGTCTGGCTGTTGTCCTAGCATCTCTATGATGGCGTTGAACAGTTTGCTAATCTTAGTCCACCAAGATCCAATCAAACGGCAACAAACCTTTGTCCACTATTATGGTCAAAGAAGGGGTCAGCCCTGCCATAAACTGGGCCCTGGAATGTGCTGTTCACTACAAATGAATGACTCAGTAACTCACCTATTAAAGGGGTCATAGGATGCTACATGCACTTTTACAAGTTGTTTGAACTGAAATGTGTGTTGGCAGTGTGTGTACACAATAGGGGTGCTCCGATTGATCGGCTACCGATCACTATCGGCCGATAATCACGTTGGGATGTTTGATCGGCGGTCTCTAAAAAGGCCGATCTCCAAAAAACGATGTCAAGCTGATGAAGCTGCCGTGAGAGTTTTGGCATGACATGCAGAGGCACCGTTTCAGTCTCTGTCCGGCGCGGGTGAAATAATTATAATGCTGAAGGTGAGGTACTCGCCTTCATATTTCTTCATTAACTTATAAAGTAATTTGAAAACCTCGTTTTAAACGTAATTTCACAAACAGCGTGAGTGAGTCACCGTGCACGCTTTCTCTTTCTCTCTCAAAATACGCAAATGGCTTCAAATCACCACACATCACGTCTGTCTATAAGCGAGCTGCACGCTGCACAGTTGACACAGGAATTGTCACTTGCACAATCGAGGCAGTGTCACATCGTTACTACAGTTTATAAATTGCATTAATTTTTAATTCTTGCCAGTGTTTAACCATTCAGCGCTCGCGCGCTCACCGTGCGCTCATGCACACTTGCAGCGCACACACATAATGCCAGGTTCACATTACTCTGTTTGCAGTGCGTATGTGGGTGCGTATTTTTCCCGTGCTCATGTTAACGGATTAATAAAGCGTGCACACTGCACACA